TTTTTTTTTTTTTTTTTTTTTTTTAAAAAAAAAAAAAAAAAAAAAAAAAAAAAAAACAATTAATGCCAAAATTGGACCTGACAACACAGGATATGAACAAGTCATGGGGACCCATGCTCTGGAAGAGATGAGTGAGAACAGAGAGAGATTTGTGGATCTGTGTGCACTTAACAACCTGGTCATAGGAGGTAGTATCTTTCCTCACAAGCAGATCCACAAGAGTACCTGGGTATCGCCAGCAGGCACGATAGAAAACCAGATCGATCATGTCTGTATTAGCAAGAAGTTCAGAAGATCTTTGCAGGACATTAGAGTTAGAAGAGGAGCAGACGTAGCGTCCGACCATCACTTAGTGGTGGCCATATTGAAGCTGAAGCTGAAGAAGAACTGGATAGATGCGTCAGATAGAAGAGCGAAGTACGTCAGCCTTTTGAAGGATCATAAGATCAAGGAAGATTTTGGACTGACGCTGAAGAATAAGTTTTCAGTACTACAGGATCGGTCTGAGGAAGAGGAAGATAGTGTATCCAACAGATGGCAGGAAGTGAGAGAGACACTTAGGTCAGCATGCCAGGAAGTGCTTGGAATTAAGAAATACCAGCAGAAACAGTGGATCACAGCAGAGACCTTGACTAAGATAGAAGATAGAAAGAAGAAGAAGGCAGTAGTTAATAACAGCAGGACTAGAGCAGCAAAGGCTAAAGCGCAAAAAAGAGTATGCTGACGCCCATAGAGTAGTGAAGAGGAATATTAGGAAGGATAAGAGAGATTATGTGGATGGACTGGCAGGAGAAGCGGAGCAGGCAGCATACAATGGTAATATGAAACAGCTGTATGACATCACCAAGCGACTGTCTGGAAAGTTCAGTAAGCCAGAGCATCCCGTCAAAGACAAGCAGGGAAAGTCTATAACAGAAATAGAACAACAGATGAATAGAAGGGCGGAGCACTTTGAGGAACTCCTGAATAGACCAGCACCATTAAATCCACCAGACATTGACCCAGCCAACGAAGACCTTCCAATCAATTGTGATAGACCAACCAGAGATGAGATCAGAAAAGCCATCACTATGATGAAGAATAGGAAGGTGGCTGGACCTGACGATATTCCAGTAGAGTCCCTGAAAGTAGATCTGGATGTTTCAGTGGAAATGCTGCACCCCCTCTCTGAGACGATATGGGAAGAAGAAGTGATTCCGGCAGATTGGAAAGAGGGATATCTTATTAAAATCCCCAAGAAAGTAGACCTCAGCAATTGTGCCAACTACAGAGGAATCACACTTCTGTCGGGGCCAGGGAAGGTCTTCAACCGAGTCCTTTTAGAGAGAATGAAGGATGCCGTCGATCCACAGCTATGAGATGAGCAAGCAGGTTTCCGGCAAAATAGATCATGCACAGACCAGATAGCAACACTTCGCATCATAGTTGAGCAGTCTATGGAGTGGAACTCCTTGTTGTACATCAACTTTGTTGACTATGAGAAAGCATTCGATAGCATGGATCGAGAGACTCTCTGGAAGCTCCTTCGGCACTATGGCATCCCAGCAAAGGTGGTCAACCTGATTAAGAACTTATATGACGGCATACACATATACATGGAGGGCAACTTACAACCAGGTTCCAGGTGTGAACCGGAGTCAGACAAGGATGCTTGTTGTCACCATTTCTCTTTCTCCTTGTCATTGATTGGATTATGAAGACATCCACTTATGAGCGTAGGAACGGAATCCAGTGGACGTTGTGGACACAGCTTGATGACCTGGATTTTGCCGATGACCTTGCACTCCTTTCGCATAGCAGACAGCAGATTCAAGAGAAGACTAACGTGGCAGCCACGTCATTACAGGTTGGCCTCAACATCCACAAAGACAAGACCAAGATCCTCAAGATTAACTCCATCAGTAATGACCCAGTCACATTGAACGGAAGCCCTCTGGAAGAAGT